GAGCGGTGGCCCAGAGGGACAACCCTCCAGAGGCTCCTCAGTTCACCAAAGCTCTCTCCATCATCCTGCACCTCATCTTTCTGCTTGAGAAGCTTGAGTGCACCCCAGAGCAGGAGCACCAGAAGAAGCACACAGTGTATCGCCTGCTGAAGCTGAACCCTCGAGGACGCAGCGGCTTTACTCCTCTCCACATGGCTGTAGATAAAGAGACCACCTCTGTGGGCCGCTACCCTGTGGGCCGCTTCCCCTCCCAGGCGGTGGCAGCGCTGCTCCTGGAGTGTGGCGCAGATGTTGATTCACGTGACAGTGAAAACAACACGCCTGTGCACATTGCTGCTAACAACGGTTGTCCGGAGATTATGGCACTACTTATGAAAGCCGGGGCTCACTTTGACGCTACAAATGCACAGAGGAAGACAGCCTACGAGCTGCTGGATGAGCAGAGCAGCGGGCACCCGGCCCTCTACCCACTGAACTACGTCACCCTTCAGTGCCTGGCGGCGCGTGCAATTGAAAAGCATAGACTGCCCTACAGGGGACTCATCTCTGAGGAGATGGAGGCTTTCATTGAACTGCACTGACTTGCACTACTGTCCCCTGATGAGAAACCCCTGCACTGTTCTTCCTGTTGTCCACTATGACCTGGCACAAACTTCCCGCTCCACACCAATCTCCTCATCTTTGTCTCCTTTTGGCCCCTGCTTTGCTCCTGGCCCCACCAACCTTGTGTCACATCAAACCATAGCAATACATATCTAGCCTGTGGTCAGTTATCACTCAATTGTAACACTTAAGTCACATGGACTTTACATTTTTTTAGTGCTATTTAAAGCTGGGTGAAACTTCAATTTGTTATAGGCTTTAATGCATTTTCCCTATTGTTTCCCTTAAAAAGGAGACTGGTGGTGCTGGTGTGTGTTAAGTGGTGGCTGGACTGTATGAAAGATGTTTAAATTGTACTGCATCTGATCAAACCAGCCAGATAACATGCATGAAGATGAATAGTGAATATGTTATCTCATTTGTGGTTTTGCAAATTCATTCAGAAAGGATGTGTTTTGACAAAATCGTCCTCCCAAACTTCCTTGCTGGTATTTTTTTGCTAGGTCATCTTATTTACATAAACCATCTGCTATTTTTCTTTGAAATTGGAAGGTGTTTGAATTTGCAGTGCCAAATGTCAGCCATGGAGCTATGTTCCGTTACAGATTGCAAAGTGATGGCAAAATGAAAAGCACCAAAGTTATTATCCTTATTATTTACGAGCAAAAGTAATGACATAAGGATCAGGAACTCAAGTTCGGAAAGGACAAAGAGCTTGTATTTATTGTTTGGCGAACACTCTCCAGTCTCCACACATCTTTACCTATGCAGTTTGTTGATATTCCAAACAGAGCCAATGTTTTTAAGCAAAGAATTCACTACATTAACAGAATTTACATGGGATTGTTATCCAGTATTTGGCTCTAACCTGGGGCGGCCTCTTTGATGAGGAAATGTTATCTTTTTAATTTATGAATGTTTTCTTAAAACTTCTGCCTATGTCTGAATGAGCACTTTTTAAACTAAAGCCCAAAGATGTGCCAACATCTCTTCTGGGTTATTTCAACGTCGCCAAAGATATTCAGTTCACTCAGTCAAAGAAGCATCTTCAGAACTAGGCCATTTTGTGAAGATAAAACAGCTTAAGCCCCTTTTTGTTTTATTTCTATGGGGTTAAAGCCACATGTTAACTGTCTGAGATCATGTGTAAATTCTGGTTTGGAGTGAATTTTCCCTTTAACCTCAGATGCAGTTCACAGAAATGGAACCGGCAGTTCCTGCATCTTAGTCTTATTTTAATACTTTCTTTTGTTCATCTTGTGTTATCATGAATGTTTTGTCAGTCATTCGTCTGTGCTAAGCACCACCAAGTTGAATGCACACCGAGAGGCTCTAAATCCAAAATGGACAACTCGCATTCAGGCTTTGAACTGATGCTGCCTTTTTCTTTCTCAACTGATTCGTTTAGCTGATGGTAACTCGAGAACAAAAGTGAGTTGCAGATACTTGAATAAAATTCAGTATCACAACATAATCTGTGTGCTTCCGTGATGTGTGGGTGAACTCGGTTTTGCTGTGTCTTTTATACATGTGTAATATCTTTTTGATATGGGAAATTATCATTAAGTATCTGAAAACTGAAAATCAATCTCTCTTTCTGTGCCTCAGGGTTGTCACTAGTTCTTCAGTTTGAGTGCTTTTGCTTAAAATGGCAGCATTTGCATTAAGAGCATCATTAAATATATTTGGATGGATAGAAATGGGTGCAGTAGCAGAACATAAAAACCCTAGGAACCCGACGGAGCAGCCAAGTCTATAACAAGATCTAATTTAGAGTTAGTCTAGAGTTCATACAAAGTGTTACATTAACAGGATATCAAAAAAATAATGGCAGCTCTTTAATTCAGATCTTTATACCAAACATGGGCTTTCCACTGCTCTGCAGACTTAAACTTGAGGGCACAGAAATAAAGCATAACAGAAACGTGATCTTTCTGAGTCCCGCACTCTGAAAGTATAAATAGACTGCAATTAACGTCACTGCTGCAGGGCAGCGGTAGAGACAGGACACTTACTTACCCTGCTAATTTTAGGGATCTTTGCCCTAGCTTAAACTCTGGAAATGGGAATACTGTAACGCTATACAGTGAGACAGGTCACAGGGTGACTGGCAGAGATTGCACACAGACAACAGAGACAGGAAACAGACAAAATAAGATCTTGCTTATGTTATAGTCGAGGCTTTTGGGATAATAAGCTGCAACAAAAATATATATAATGTGGTATTGTTACTGTACTGTACATGTGACTGGTGTCATGTTGTGAGTATGGGGGAAACCGCAGCTGGTAAGGAGGGGTTCAAGTCCCTGTGACATTCTGTACATCTACCCTCCTAAATAAGATCATACATATGAGAGCTCCCCTATCGCTGACCTCTGACCTTTCTGTAAAGGGTGCAAGTGGATTGAGGTAGACATTGGATGTAAATTAAAAAGTTTCTATTAAAAGCAGGACAGGTGTTAACGGGTCAAAGACAGCTACAATTGTTTTTGTTTGGTACAAACAGGAGAGAAAATACTGTATGTCCAATCCTGCATACATTATAGACAGAAACAAATTATTTGTTGTAATTTCAGTGCTTGTCTTTAGTTTCATTCAGTTAAAACATATTTTTTCAGAGCAACAAAAGGAACTGTCTCACCTGATGGTAGATTATTTAACCTCCTGTAAAAATGCTTCCAATCTCAAGTAAATGCAACATCACATGATAGTAACCACTAGATGTCACTAGCAACAAAGAAAGTCAAACAGGTGCAGCAGCCTTTGTGTCTTAAAGGCCATCCATACACTCAAGAACTGTAGCTCCCAATTAGCCTCCCAAGTGAGGGCAGTGAATTAACTTCCCCTGTCTCTTTCTCACACTTTCATGGTGTCAGAGAGCCACAAAGACAGAGAGCACGAGTTGTTACTAGTGATTTTTACAAAGCTGTTAGAGAGGGCTGAATACACATTTGTAATGTCTCTGGATGAACAGAAATTCAGGCAGGCAGATTTGCTGAGCCTTTTATTACAGAGCGCTGTTTGAGGATCAGCAAATAAGTTAGAATGAAGCCTCCTTCCTCCACAGTCCCGAAGCAACATGCCAACACCACACACAAACAACACCTTCGATATTGGCCTTGTGGCGGCTCTGTCATGTTGTGTGACCTAAATAGGAGCCCATCTTAAAAAACAAAAGGCTTTGTTCCTCTATATACCATGTTTTAGAGCTAAAGAAAACGGCTTTGTTGTTTATTCATTTTTCTATTTCATCTTTATTTCGTAATAGATTCCATCCGGAAATATGGTCGGTATTTTTAACATGCTGTTCATATCATTAGGCAAAGGTCAGACACTCAATAAAAATGTGTTTCTTGGCAATTACAGTCAGTCATCCTTTGTTTGCCTGAAGCCATTTCCGTTTAATGCATTCTCACTAGCTGCCAAAATATTTGATAGTTTATTGGACATTTTGCCAAAATATAATGGGACAAAAGGACAAATATTGTAATTGTATTGTAGTGATCACATGGCAATTTAATATAATTAGGTTGAGGAAGGGACCAACCCTGAAAATCTATTGGTCATGTTTAGACACCATTCTGATCCACATTTCTAGAAAAATAATAAAAACACCTAAGAAGCGTTTTTAGGGGCAATTCACCATATGAGGATTTATAAAAAATGGTCTATACTTTCATTGATATAAATGAGGTGCACGAGAATGAGGCAGTAGGCCTATAATTGACAAAAAATGACCATGAAATTGAATCAACACATTTCTAAAACATGTTTTTAATCAAATTAAACTGCAGACCTCCTGTAATATACTGCATTAGTTTTGAGCAAACCTGATAAACGGACTACTACTGAGCACATCAAACGGTAAGGTTATCCTCTCATCTATTGTCCTCAAAAGAAGTAACCTTATCTTATCCTATACTTGAATCTACCTCCTGTGTTTTTAATATATTCCCCCAATGTCCCACCGTGAGTGGTGTTCACCCTACATTTATAAAAGTGTCCAGCTGAAATGTAGTTTGGAGATGTGCTCTGCAGGAGCAGATATGGGCTCTGACTTCCTGCCAGCAGCTATAATTAGACACTATATTATGGGAATCTACGGGGTTTCAAGGTGCTTATCTTCATTTTGGCCCCTGGGGAGCACAGTGTAAAAATCAGTCCAACACACAGGGCCGGCCTACCTCAGCTCTACTTCTTTTGCAGCAGTCAGCATGCAGCCAGAGCTGGAGGAGCTGGGGCTGGAAATGGGGGTGATGGGGGATACGGTTGCTATTGGAGATCTTTCCTGCATCACGTCATGTGTTAGGGGAGGGGGGGGGGGGGGGGGGGAGAGCTCCGGTGTGTGTTTGAGAGAGAGATAGATAGAGCGGGGAGGGGGAGGAGAGGACAGGAGGGAAGGAGGAGGGCATTAAGGAAGAAGGCAGGGAGTATCAATGACATCAACCAGCAGTATCTGAGGCCGCTCGACCGGCAATGCTCTCCCGACAAAAAGGGCTGAGGAGCAGCCCGTGACCCGCTGCGTTTTCGAGAGCTCTGTCGACAGCCAGCACGGTGAGGGGAGAAACACCGGCGATGTGTGCATGCATCCCCCACAAAGGCAGACCTTTCTGTGACTGGAGCTCCGCTGCCGCCGGATTACATTCATCCTTGCTGTTTCCGAGGAAGCTTCCAGCTGCAAATCCACCCACATGAATCTACCAGACAGTAAAGAAGACGGAGCACTTCCTACCCAGGTAACCAGCATCTTTCCTCCTCTACAGTGTTTAATGTTACCCCACCCAGGCGGGTTATTTGCACTTATCGAATATCCTTTTTGGAAACTATAAGGAGGTAATTGTATATCCCTGCCCGGGTGCAATTTCAACGTTAAGCCTTGCTAAGGGTGACCGGATTCTTCTTTGTTTTTGTTTTTTTTTCATGTCAGGATCACTGGAGAGTTTTGGGTGATATCAGACCGAGGGGTTGTGCAGAGCAGGCTGCTTGGCATCACCGCTGTGAGTGCGCGCCCCCCCTCACCCCCCTCCTTATTGTTGGCTGGGCAGCATGAGGGACCGGGGCAGACTGGCAAAGCCTTTGTTCCTCATCCACTCTCGTTTAAAGTGGCTTATTGTCTAATTGCCCTTTTTAAAGCACTCTCCATGTATCAGTCTGGTGTTAAATCCGATCAAAAAGACAATACAGATAAAAACATTGTGGACCAAAACCCTCATGAATAAATAAATACAGCACCTGCATCCTATAGATTGTCAAGGGTATTTAAAAAGCGGAAGTCCTGGTATTATTATTGTAAAGATGTTAAGATTTCACAGCCTAGTAGAAATCCCATTATGCTAATGTCATGTCACTTTTGAGGGGGCTATCAAAGGCATATTATTAATCCATAAAGGCTATTATTCTAATTTAAGAGAGATTTTTCTTCTATGGAAGGTGCCAGGTGGCAAAGCAAATGGATTTAATTAAACAAGACTGTTTTATAGACAATAGAGTATAGCTGCTGCATCTGCTACTCCCAGGCTTTACTTAAAACAATCCCATCTGCACATATAGGCAGATTTGTTTTGTAGTCCATAGACCTTTCATATGTCTATAATTATACGCATAGGATTTGCAGTTAAAGCAGCCACTCAAGCGTACAGGCTGAGTGTAATTTAATGATACATCGATTCATCCTGACACATTTTCCGAGGGCTATTGCTTGTTGGGATTTAATCATGTTCAAATGCCTGTTTAGGTTTTCTGTATTTCCGCTGCGTGGCCTGTGTAAACTGGAACATCGCACTGTCGTGGTGAATCTGAGGGAGGTCTTCCTCCTCACACACAGATGGGAGATTTTCCCTGGGGCACCATGCATTTGCTGGTTATTGTTCCAGACCATTTCCACATCCCTAATTATTTTAATCAGTCATTTTTACACTTGGATTCCTCTTTTTAGCAGTTTACATATTTTTTCCTCTGTATTTTCACATTCCCCCTGCCTAACCACCTTCATCTGAAGACCAGGGTTGGGGATAAAGGTATTTGGATTATTATGACAGGGAAACGTCACTATGTGGAGGTAGAATAATTCAACTGGCATACTTCCTCTGTTAGTCTCTGAGAAACACATCGAATAGGCTCTTTCCTGAGCCATGAGATGCTCGGCCCCACAGGTATTAGGCACTTTTAGGAGCAGTGGCTTATGAAATGTGTGATGCCATGTACTCTCTTAAATAGCTTTTCACAGGGTTCAACCATGGGTCTCAATGGTTTCCAGTGCCTCTTAAGCAGATACCACTGCTGAGATCCACCCAGAATTCAACATGCCAAATGACGTGCGCTCCCAGTGGAGCAGCTTTGGTTTCACGTCAAAGGCCTTATTGAAGTCTTATTCCCTGATTCTCGCAGCAGCATTAGCCTTAACAGCTCTGCTCTTTACTTTCCTCTCTTGTGTTTCGTGTTATGCCCATCCATGGGTTTTGTCAGAATCTCTGTGTACACTCCCCATTAGCTATGTTGCACCAGTCAGCTGGAAAGAAGGAGGCTTTGATGCGGCGAGCGTAGCCACCTGTATTACAAGCAGACAGAAAGTTGTTGTTGTCTAGCCATTGATATTAATTGACCTTTTTAAAGCCTTCCAAACAGAGAGCTACTGTCTGCTGCGCTTCTGTACTTGTTTATTCAGGGGCTGCTGAAAACAAGGCATACAGCATGCAGAAGGAACCCATTAGCGCTGGGCAATACAGTTCATTATTAAAACAGCGGGTCAAAAAAAGGAGAAATACTCGTGAAGATACTGAAATATTTTTTTTTTGATTGCTTAAAACTTTGATCCAAATACAATTTGAACCAAAAGACCCTGGAGATTCATTATCCTTAATGAGGAAATACACCACCAGTAAATGTTTTTGGACTTTTAATGAAATTGTATTATGTAAATAGAATTTTCTGTATTATTGTTTTTCCAAATTCTGGTAGCTAAATGAATGATTAATTTATCAATGTTAAACAGGAACCAATCTATAATTTGATATGGGAAAACATAGTCAATTTACAACAATTACACAAAGCCATATCCATTAAAAATGGTGTAAAAAAAATTCTAAATGTTCTTAACATTGAATTTCAGTTTGTTTGGCAAAGATAATAATAAAGATAACAACGTTTTTTAAAAGATACATTTAAGTTATGCGAAAATTATTTCAATAATATTCTAAATACCGTGTTTGTAAAAGTCTACCTCTTAGCCTATTTGTACTGGTTTGTTTTCCTTAGCTCTAAATAGTTCATGTATATTTCCATTGAAATATTAAACTGATAACCTTGTTGTGCAGAGATCAATCCCAGTCTGTTGTTGACACTCAAGTCACAGGGAGGTCATTTGCAATTATGTGTGTGCGTGTGTTGATGGTGTGTCCGTGTTTCTGTGTGTGCATATGAGTGAAGGCAAAGCGATAGGTTGTGACTTGACTGATGCCCTTCTCCAGATGAATCAGAGATTCTGATGTGTCAGCAGGGATGAATAATTCACACACCCCCCACCTCTTTCCTCTTCCTCTCTTCTCCACCTCTTGTCTTCAGTCGTTCGCCTCTCTTTTCATCACAACTGCCACATCTGAAGACATCTTCACCTTCCTTCTCACCCCTCCCCCTCCTCCACCTCCTCTCCTCCCTTATGCAAAAGAGGGTATAATTTCCCCATTGCTGCTGTTACTGCCTCGCTGTCCTCCGGTCAACCCTCCTCTCTACTTCAACTCCTTCTTCTCCTCCTGAATAAGAACCCAGTGTTGAATCCATTGTCATCTAAAGTTCTATAGAGTCCCTTTTGCTGAAATGTTATGCACAATGACACAGGAACATATTTTGTGAGCTTTTCATTCGGCTGACATTTGCACTGAAAATGGCTTAATGTGTTGATGCACACATCTCATTATCCAATCATGGGAGTGGGAAGTGCAGCCATTGACTCGGTTTGACAGTTACATCCCTGACTGACAGCAGTCATTAGAAGGGAAGGTTCTGACTGACAAGATGGCTGACAAAGCAGAAGAAAAACTGCCTAATCAGAACTTGGAGTAAGAGCGGTCAACGTTTTTTTTTTAAGTATAGACTTAGCCGCTAATAGATGTACTAAAAAATGTTTGATGCACGTTGCTTCAAGTGCTTGGCAAGTCCTCAGCAATGTTCAACACTTGGAGTGAGTACTTCCTCCTTGGTGAATGCTTGGCTGGGTGGATTCATTTGGGCTTGATATTTTCAATATGTTGTAAAATATAAATGTCATTTGGATTTGCTTTATCGGTTGGGATAGGGCCATATGAATTATATTGTAGGCAGTAACATTGTATGTCTGTGTCTAAAGTGTCTCTGGGAAAAGTCATAGCGATTATATATATATATATATATATATATATATATATATATATATATATATATATATATATATATATATAACATCGTTATATGTTTTAAGGGGGTAGTGAAGCGGTAGAACACCAGTCAATAGAGTCTAGACACTGGTAGTAGCGATGGGAAGAAGGACATATTGAAGATCCTGATGTCATGATGAATGGTCTTCTGATGAGCTCAACCTGAGCACTGTGTTTGATGGACTGGAGTTGAATGGGGTGGAGGACGGCTGCGACAATTTCGCCTGAATTGATGGCAGAGGGGAGATCCAATTTATAGTTTTGAAGCAGCAACATGGCTGATAGACATTGCAGAAAAAACGGTTTGGTTGAACTAAAACGTGAAACGTAATCTTTTGAACATTAATAGGAACAGTGAGAGAAAAATTATTGTGAAGGAATGAAGCATAAAGACTAAGCTTCAAAAGTTGTTTTGCAAAGTACAGCAGATTACGTTAGCTTAGGTTTTTATAGCTCTTAGTGGGAATCTGTCTTATCTTTTAACCTTGCTATAGTGCAGCTCTAGGAATGTTGGTTAGCCCATTGGTCTATTGAATAGATTGCCATAGAGCATTTTACAGACATTCATGTCACCCTTAGCATGATTTGTAATAACTTTATGAAACCATATCAGCTTTTAGGGAAATGTTAGCATGTTATTGTGCGTAACTTAGATGGAGTTAAGAAATGTAAGCATTCACTTTCACTCATGTTTTTTTTCTCCATGTTTCATGTTGTTTGTCACACAAATGATGTAAGGCTTAATAGGCCAGTGAAGAAAGTTGATAAGATTAAATTATAAAAACATGTTTGATTTAGTTAAGCTACCTGTGCCGCCTATACAAACAAAGTGTTTGTGTTGCAGTCAGCTCTATAGATACAAGAAAATAAGAGGTTTTGGCACGCCTCCGTATGCCAGTTAGTGAAAGAACATCTTTATTGCTCCAGTGAAACAGCTCTGCTCTACTGAAAGACCTTAACCATGCAGGATGGAAAATGGACACTGTCCAGGAAACTTACAGATCTGTTCCATCATCAGATAGAAAAACCAAAGCTAGAAGATTAGACTCTTTCATTCTGCAGTCTGTGCGTGTGTGTATGTGACTGTGTGAGTGTGTATGTAGGTGGTGGAAGTGGGGCTGGTTGACATGTCTCTTGAATGCAGCCCCACATTTGTTTGTGGCATTCCATGATTGCTCTGTCTGCGCGGTGCTGAAGGATGTCAGGTTGGATGAAGTATTTGTTGGATGGAAGTGAGAGTAATGGCCAGTCATTGGTGGAAAGCATGCGTGCGCAAGTCTGTTACCGTTGACAAGCATTTCATCTCTTCACTTCCCGAGACACAATCT